TGCTTTGAAATTTATTGCTTTATACTGCATATATACTGTTTGAATATCCCTCAACAATACTGGTAGTTTTTTCGGCGTCAAAAATTTTTTCAATATGCTTATGACACAAGTGATAAATGTACCGTCAACCACAATTGTTACAAACAATAGATTTATCCATACGAAGAAACAAAGAATCACTAATGAAATTATAATCTGAACTGAAAAAAAGAATGTATATATATATAAACTTTTAACCCACAAAAACTAATTCCAAAATAACACCGTATGAGTTCATTTATGTTTGTACATCAATGCAATATTGACATATCTCTTTAGAAAAGGTCTTTACATCTTTCGATTTTGTTATTTACTTTGCGTTTTACACTAAATATGTATGGGTCATTTAAAAAAAATGTCGAATTTTGAAATTTCAAAATTGATTTAAAGTTACTAATTCAAACAACCCTCTTCATAAGACATAAACAAATCAAAACAAACAGTACTTATGGAACAACATATAAAAAGATGCAATCTTGATAATGTCATACAAGAATATATTGAAACATTTTTTTAGGTGGTGCAATATTTTGTCTCTCCTGTTGCATGTACCATGTTCAAAAGAAATTCCGGGTTAATTAGAAAAGGTTTCGATACAAATTTTAAGCTTGTTTTTCATAGCCAATAAGATGGTTTTCAAGAGTAAAAACTTCTACAATTTGCATTCTGTGAAATGATTGATTATTTGTCAATTTTCCATGTTGTACTGAAAAATGCCTCTAAAAATTGGTTTTCAAAGGTTATAAAAATATCCACCAGCAATGCAAGTCTAAGATAGTAACTCATAATGTTCAGCATTTTTGTTCTCTTTCTAATAAATCCAACATCAAGTAATTCCCTCGCATGTTGGTTTGCTTTTGTCCTGATTTTATTGGTAACAGTAACGTACTAATGTTATATCACCATATTAAGTTCTATCCTGTTACCCTTTTTGTCTATCCTGTTACCGTTAGCAGTATTGCATCTGCAAATGCTAAATTGCGAAGATTAATACGTTATAACCTTTAGATGAGTTCAAACAAAGAAACTTTCTTGTGTGTACAACTATATGTAATTTTAAACTTTTTAAAGACGTTTCTGTCAAATATTGTCTATCCTGTTACTGTAACCATAGTAACAGGAAAGACATAACAGGATAGACAAATTTCTTCATTTATGAATGCTGTTGTGAAATAACTACTGCCTTTGATGAAAGGGTAATGTTTTTCTGTTGTGATTTTGGTTTCCAACAGGTTATTGCACTTTTTACAAGTAAAATATTGGTGTAGTTAATAAATATGTTGGTAACAGCATAGACATGACAAAATGGTACCCTCTAATTTTTTTCACTAAATGTCTTGAAATTTCTTTTCTCTACACTGTATATACACATATATTTTGAAATATGACGTCATAGAAGTTCAGCTACCATATTTTCTATCTCACGAAATATAACCATATTAAATTAGCGGCAGCAAGAGGGATAAGTGTATTTAGCTAAATGTAAGTTGAAAGACCTGCATAATTACAAATGATGAGAATACGAATTGTTCGGTCTTTATGAAAACATATAAAAGAGGGGCGAAAGATACCAGAGGGACATCATAAGTCGAAAATAAACTGACAACACCATGGCTAAAAAAGAAAAAGACAAACAGACAAATAACAGCACACAAAACACAACATAGAAAAACTAAAGACTAAGTAACACGAACCCCACCAAAAACTGGGGGTGATCTCAGGTGCTCCGGAAGGGTAAACAGATCCTACTCCACATGTGGCACCCGTCATGTTGCTCATGTTAGTACAAACCCGGTAAGAAGTCAAATTCGGTAGGTCACATTCAAGAAAAGGGGACGGGATTGTAGTTACGACATGAGAACATATCCGCTATCTGTGAAACGGATATTCCATACCGGTGAACCAACTCGTGATGGCGTCCGAAAAATTTACGAAGGGATGATTTCAACTTCACCATTTGGAACTCTTGGTTTAATAGCTTCCTTGTGAGCAGCAGCCCTCTATCAAGGAAATCATGATAGGGAATACAAGCCCGGGAATATATCAATTGGGAGACATATACTCTGTATGCAGGCGCTGCTGGAATGTTGCTACATAGAAATGAAAAGTTCACAATTGAGAAGCTGAAATCATCTCTTTTGTCGTAAAGTTTTGTTTCCAACCGACCCTCATTGTCAATATCTAGATGTAAGTCAAGATATGAGTATCTGTTGTATCCTTTATCTCAAGTTCGATGGGTTGGATGCGATCAACATAGTCACCAAATTTTGAATTATTTAGTGAGAGAACATCATCTATATAGCGGAAAGTAAAGTTAAAGGATACTGCTAACTTCTTTTCTTTCTTCCTAAGAAGTTCATGTATGAAGTCAGCCTCATAAGAATAAAGAAACAAGTCGGCAAGAAGAGGGGCACAGTTGGTTCCCATGGAAATGCCGATTGTTTGTTGAAAAACACGTCACAAAAAAACATTGATGGAAGATCCAGTTCTTCATCTTTGGTTGAAATTCCAAAGGAACATAGAACAGACCTATAATTATCCAGGATTTCCGCTTTAGTAAGTGTCGTGGGGTATATTTATAGTTTCCAAGTGAATTGTCAATACCTAATTCAATTATCAAGCAGTTTATGTAATGTGATTTACACACAAAAACGATGTTGTTTGGGGCTTTATCTGCGGGGACAACAACATATTTGTCATGGAGGTAGGACAAGTGTTTTGCAACATTTGGGTCTTTAAAGATTGATGTAGCATGGGTATTGATAGACTTATTCAGTTTCTTAATTCTGATTTGTATCAACGACCTCACAGCCTTAATCCATTCGGAAAGAGTATCTATATATAAGATTTCGGTCGATTTTTGGGGGCAAAATGGGTGCAATTTGGATAAAGTGGATAAAGTGACTTTATTTGAAAACAGGAAAAAATGGTTGAAGTGGAATTCCTCCGAAGCAGTCGATCAGGAGTGCGGTAAAGAATTTCAGACTTTGAAATAATGCAACGGTGATGAAAAATAATGTGTACAGTGGACAGATGCGGGTTACAATTTTTGCGCTTATATTTCTATTTTTGTTGAGAGGGAAAATCCCAAATTGGGTTAATTCGGAGCAGATTTCATAGTGTGAACACGGTATTAGTTTCTAAATTATTTCTTAATTTAGGCATATCAACAGAAAATTTAAGAAAATTTGTAAAAAAAACATGTCAGTATTACAGAAGCACTGACTACTGACTTGACGATACCCACAGGAACCAACAGTACATTAAAACTGGTATCGACCTAGTGTTAGTAAATGAAAATACCATTATCAATTTCGTTCGTTTCAGGATTTACCTTCATTAGGAAAGACCGAACCCAAACATTTGAAAGCCATACATACATAGGACATAAACAAGCAAAGAGCTATATGACCAAAAGGGATCTAAAAATAGCCAAAGTCATCTAAGGTCAAATTGGCCTGGGAGAGTTAGAACTTTTGTTTCTTAATAATTTCTTAACATATCAACGGAAAATTTAAGAGAAGTTTGAAATAAATAATGTAAGTAGTACCGAAGCAATAACCTTAATTTAGACAATTAAAACTGCTGGTTCTATACCCGGTTAAAATGGAAAAGTAAAGTCAGACCATGTGAAAACTTTCAAATAATATAAATGCATGAATTATATTTTAAGGTAGATTCACTGTACACCGCCATCTTGGTTTGTACAATAGTAGTACATAATCGGTCTAGTTCTTTGCCTAAATCTGCAAATTTTGAGACAGATTTGCAATTTATCTGTTAGACTTTTTAATTTTATAAAGACAAAAAATAATTGATTTATTGCATTATCCAAATTTTTTAAACAAATACCAAATATTTGTTTTTTTAGAATCAATTTTTCAACTTAGCCATTTAAGGAGATAACTCTTATAGTAAAAGTTTTATACTGTAATGATAGTGAAATTTTATTTTTTTACTTTTAGCAAGAAAACAAGTTCGGTGACATCATTTTTTCTTTTTATTTTCATAAAGCTTAATATAAAACCTATCTTCTCATATTTTATTTCAAAATTCTTTTTCATAGATTTCTTTTTATTCACAAACATATGTTTTTTCATGAACAAACTATGCAAATTTGTGCAATTGTGCACGACTTGTAGCTTGAAATATTATAGCACGGTGACCCATACTTTTTTCTGTATTTTTGAAAAAAGCATTGTAAAATCTTCATTTAGGCATAGTATAAGAAAATTCTATCTGAGGAAATACATACATATGATCCACCTTAAGTATAATATTATATACATATTTTAATGGTTATGTTATGTATCATTCAATAATAGAAACTTTCCGACAAACTTTATATACTTATCATAAAAATAAACGATACAATGCAATACATTTTTCCATTTGAAATGAAATTGGATACATGTACTAATCTTGTGTTTCGTTACTTTTGTTGACTAGTATATTTAAATATCAGATGATCGAGTATGTTTATACTAATGATATAAAAACAAAACTAAAATGTTTCTAAGTAAAGTAAGATATTTTCTGTATTGGTATTCTGTACTGTTGTAACTTGTCTTCGTTGAATTTATTTCACACCAGTACCATTTTAATGATATTCGATAACCTTCGGTTTAAAAGCTTAATTTATGTTCTATACGTTTAAACAACAAATTGACATGTTCTAAACATCTCAACATCAATAAGACGGACATTCTAAACTAAAACTATAATTCTATCAGAAATAAAGCTATGTATTTCATATGAAAATAATTTCATTTTATTTAACGACGTGGAAAAGTATAACAAACAAAAAAATAATGAAACATTTGCAATAGTGTCTTTAAACTACTGCATTCATCAGAACTGATAAGCGAGTTTTTTGATTTTATGGATCTTTTAAAAAAATGTTGAAAATGTTTCAAGTATATCATTTCAATTCTGTCATTTTATTTAAATGTCGGTACGATTCAACATCTTTCAGTTTTTGACGCTGTGAGGAAAACAAATACAGAAGATATTGGTCTTTCCTCTTTACCTTAGGCATTGCACATAATCGTATTTACCTGCACGGTTCATGACGTATCTTGTCGGGAATAAGCTGGTGATATCAGAGAACAATTTTTATATCAGTATATTATAACAAGTACTTTGGGGTTGCTTTAAGTAACTATTCAAGATCAAATCCTAGGGTGTGACTGAATGTAGATAAAACCTTTATACATATTCATATGCCTTTCGCGTGTCACCTCTTTATTGTGCAGGCTTTTATAAAAACTTAATGTTAATGTCCTTTAAAGAATTGTGTGTTAATGGCAGAACTTTCATAGTCACTGTTACATATATTCACAAGTTTTCTAGATGTTTGCGACTGTTCTTACGAGAATAAATATTCTTAAGTCATGAACATTTAAGTATGCCTTACTTTTCGTTTTAATCGTAAGATTTTTATGAAAAAGCCACAGAGCTTGACATGCAATGTATCAAAGTCTTAAGAGACAATCGTCTACCGTTCATTAAAGTATGTTTACATCTGGATGTTTTTCGGTTTTTTTTTGTTATGTGTGTCTAAACTTAAAATTAAGTCAAAACTTAACTTACAGTATCTGTATATAGGATGATAATGTGGCCTTTGCACAGGACTTTTTGTTGTTGTTGACAAAATACTTTTATTTTTTGTCTGTATAATTGCTTGTGTTGGTGCCGTAGTAGTTGGAGCCGTTGTTGTAGGTGCCGTTGTCGTTGGTGCCGTTGTTGTTGGTATCGTAGTTGTTTGTTCCGTTGTCGTTGGTGCCGTTGTTGTTGGTGTCGTTGTCGTTGGTGCCGTTGTCGTTGGTATCGTAGTTGTTGGTGCCGTTATTGTAGGTGCCATTGTCGTTGGTGCCGTTGTTGTTGGTGCCGGTGTCGTTGTTGTTGGTATCGTTGTTGTTGGTGCCGTTGTTGTAGGTGCCATTGTCGATTGTGCCGTTGTCGTTGGTGTCGTTGATGTTGGTGCCGTTGTTGTTGGTGCCGTTGTCGTTGGTGCCGTTGTTGTTGGTATCGTTGTTGTTGGTGCCGTTGTCGTTGGTGCCGTATTCGTTGGTGCTGTTGTTGTTGGTGCCGTTGTTGTAGATGCTGTTGTCGTGGGTGCCGTTGTCGTTGGTGACGTAGTCGTTGGTTCCGTTGTCGTTGGTGCCGTTGTTGTTGGTGCCGTAGTTGTTGGTGCCTTTGTCGTTGGTGCCGTTGTCGTGGGTGCCGTTGTCGTTGGTGCCGTTGTTGTTGGTTCCGTTGTCGTTGGTGTCGTAGTTGTTGGTGTCGTTGTCGTTTGTGCTGTTGTTGTAGGTGTCGATGTCGTTGGTGCCGTTGTTGTTGGTGCCGGTGTCGTTGTTGTTGGTATCGTTGTTGTTGGTGCCGTTGTTGTAGGTGCCATTGTCGATTGTGCCGTTGTCGTTGGTGTCGTTGATGTTGGTGCCGTTGTTGTTGGTGCCGTTGTCGTTGGTGCCGTTGTTGTTGGTATCGTTGTTGTTAATGCCGTTGTCGTTGGTGCCGTATTCGTTGGTGCTGTTGTTGTTGGTGCCGTTGTTGTAGATGCTGTTGTCGTGGGTGCCGTTGTCGTTGGTGACGTAGTCGTTGGTTCCGTTGTCGTTGGTGCCGTTGTTGTTGGTGCCGTAGTTGTTGGTGCCTTTGTCGTTGGTGCCGTTGTCGTGGGTGCCGTTGTCGTTGGTGCCGTTGTTGTTGGTTCCGTTGTCGTTGGTGTCGTAGTTGTTGGTGTCGTTGTCGTTTGTGCTGTTGTTGTAGGTGTCGATGTCGTGGGTGCCGTTGTCGTTGGTGTCGTTGATGTTGGTGCCGTCGTTGTTGGTGCCGTTGTCGTTGGTGCCGTTGTTGTTGGTATCGTTGTTGTTGGTGCCGTTGTCGTTGGTGCCGTATTCGTTGGTGCTGTTGTTGTTGGTGCCGTTGTTGTAGATGCTGTTGTCGTGGGTGCCGTTGTCGTTGGTGACGTAGTCGTTGGTTCCGTTGTCGTTGGTGCCGTTGTTGTTGGTGCCGTAGTTGTTGGTGCCTTTGTCGTTGGTGCCGTTGTCGTGGGTGCCGTTGTCGTTGGTGCCGTTGTTGTTGGTTCCGTTGTCGTTGGTGTCGTAGTTGTTGGTGTCGTTGTCGTTTGTGCTGTTGTTGTAGGTGTCGATGTCGTGGGTGCCGTTGTCGTTGGTGCTATATTTGTGGGTGCCGTTGTCGTTGGTGCCGTTGTTGTTGGTGCCATTGTTGTTGGTTCCGTTGTCGTTAGTGTCGTTGTTGTTGGTGTCGTTGTCGTTTGTGCTGTTGTTGTAGGTGTCGATGTCGTGGGTGCCGTTGTCGTTGGTGCCGTTGTCGTTGGTGACGTAGTCGTTTGTTCCGTTGTCGTTGGTGCCGTTGTTGTTGGTGTCGTAGTTGTTTGTGCCTTTGTCGTTGGTGCCGTTGTTGTAGGTGCCGTTGTCGTGGGTGCCGTTGTCGTTGGTGCCGTTGTTGTTGGTTCCGTTGTCGTTGGTGTCGTTGTTGATGGTGCCGTAGTTGTTGGTGTCGTTGTCGTTTGTGCTGTTGTTGTAGGTGTCGATGTCGTGGGTGCCGTTGTCGTTGGTGCCGTAGTTGTGGGTGCCGTTGTCGTTGGTGCCGTTGTTGTTGGTGCCGTTGTCGTTGGTGCCGTTGTCGTTGGTGCCGTTGTCGTTTGTGTCGTTGTTGTTGGTGCCGTTGTTGTTGGTGCCGTAGTTGTTGATAGTGGCGATAATGATGAATTTATTGCATTGGTTGTTTTTTCCAAAATCAAAATTGCATGAAAAACCTGAAGGAATGAAAAAAAGGTCTATTCAATGAACATGCCAAGCTCCGAATCGTCCAGAAATTTTAAACTATGGGCTCTCCAGAGCCTGTGTCGCTCACCTTGGTCTATGTGCATATTCAACAAAGGATACACTCCAACATTGAAGACAAGAATAGAATTCATAAGAAAAATCTCTGTTTTGTTGATCTTGTATTGCTGATCATTAAGTCTGTTTAGTTTCTCTATATCTTCCTTAGTTTTTGCTCCAAAAAAGGGTAAAATAATCCGTATTTAAGGGGCTGGGCAATCACTCCTATAAAGAGTGACATCCTACTATCGTTATCAGCAAAATGTGCCTTGTTAGTAGATCGGACGATTTCCTCTATGTTGTTTTAATTGTAGATCTTACCTTGCTGATCAGTTTTGCTTATTTAACTTTTTATCTATCTATTATAATTTTTAAGAAATAAGGCAAAAACGCAAAATATTGTAAAAATCATCATCAAAAGGCAATAAATCTCATAAGGAGTAGGCTGACGATTTCGACAATGTGAACGTATTTGTAGAACTTGTCTTGCTGTCTATTGATCATTTTTGCAATTGAATGTTTCTCTGTATCTATTATAGTTATCAAGATAATAGGCAAAAATGAAAAAAATGGTAAAATTTGTCATTTAAGGGCAATAACTCCTATATGATATTGTCTGACAATTTTGACGTATATGGACAGTTGGTAGAGCTCAACATTCTGAACATTTTTGCTCTTGTTATATTTTCTCTATTCGTACAGTTTTCAAAATAATAGACAAAACTTGCATTTTACCCCTATGTTCTATTTTTACAGCGGATGACCTGAGGGCATTCCGGTGTTATGTTGCCGCAGACATTTCTACCCACGTGACTTGCGTTTTTGACTGATAACCGAACGTATTTCATATAAATACGCGGATATTATCGAGTGCAAAATAACATTCCTTATCGCTTGTTATAAATTCATTTCTTCAATGAATACTCATGAAAATATTTTATAAGATCATAAATAAATAATATGAAAATGTTTTGTCATGAGAACTATATATATATATAAGTAAAAAAAACATTAATATCTATGCACATGTACCGAAAAATTGTGTTTGCGGATGAATATCTCTTATCGCTTGTTATATATTAGTTTCATCAATACATATTCATTAGCAGGAGAAATATGAATGCCTACTCAAATAAAACCTATTAGAAAAACGAATTATTACAGAAGAGTGTCCACCATGCACTTGCACTGTAGTATCATTAGAATAGAAGAATAGAATGATGGTATAAATGCATGAAAATTTGCCGGTAGAGTTATTAAGATGATCTGCTATATGTATAACTGTTGTACAAATATCAATATAATATATAACAACAAACCAGATTATACTGATAAAAAATGATTGTCCCGTGATTATATCACTACAATATAATAACTATTACGGTGAGGTTGAATTCTCTGTCATTTATTCATCATCCACATAGGAACTTGTCACAGAAAAAAAATAAATCTATGTACCTTAACCTAACTTTCAGGTATAGAGATATTTTTTTTTCTGAGACAAGTGCCTGTGACTATTCACCAGAACTTGTGGTCATCCGATGTTCAGTACTTCAGTACTTTGATTAGCCATGTCAGCTATGTTGGTTGGCAGGCGGGGTCATCGGACACATAGATACCCTAATCATGATTGTGGCCAAGTTTTGTTAAATTTGTCTCAGTAATTTCCGAGGAGAAGATTTTTGTAAAAGATTACACAAATTGATGAAAAATTGTGAAAATTTATCTATAAAGGGCAATAACTCCTTAGAGGGTCAATTGACAATTTTGGTCATATTGACTTATTTGTAGATCTTACTTTGCTGGACATTATTGCTGTTTACAGTTTATCTCTTACTATATATAATAATATTCAAGATAATAACCAAAAATTTCCTTAAAATTACCAATTTAGCGGCAGCAACCCAACAACGGGTTGTCTGATTCGTCTGCAAATATCAGGACAGATAGATCTTAACCTGATGAACATTTTTTACCAGTCAGATTTGCTCTAAATGCTTTAGTTATAAAGATATTAGTCAAAAACTGCATTTTACCTCTATGTTCTATTTTTATCCATCTCGGCCATGTTTGTTGGCAGGCGGACACATTTTCTAAACTACATACCCTAATGATGATTGTGGCCAAGTTTGGTTAAATTTGTCTCAGTAGTTTCAGAGGAGAAGATTTTTGTAAAAGATTATAAAAATTTACGAAAAATTGTTAAAAATTGACTATAAAGGGCAATAACTCCCTAAGGGGTCAATTGACAATTTTGGTCATGTTGCCTTATTTGTAGATCTTACTTTGCTGAACATTATTGCTGTTAACAGTTTATCTCTATCTATAATGATATTCAAGATAATAACCAAAAACTCCAAATTTTCCTTAAAATTACCAATTAAGCGGCAGCAACCCAACAACGGGTTGTCTGATTCGTCTGAAAATTACAGGGCAGATAGATCTTAACCCGATGAACATTTTCAACCCATCAGATTTGCTTTAGTTTTAGAGATATAAGCCAAAACATTTTACCCCTATGTTCTATTTTTAGCCATGGCGGCCATGTTGGTTGGTAGGCGGGGTCGTCGGACACATTTTTTAAACTAGATACCCCAATGATGATCGTGGCCAAGTTTGGTTAAATTTGGCCCAGTAGTTTCAGAGGAGAAGATTTTTGTAAAAGTTAACGGACGACGGACGACGACGAAGCAACGGACGCCAAGTGATGTGAAAAGCTCACTTGGCCCATTGGCCAGGTGAGCTAAAAATGACAAACACTAGTTAGGACTACAAAAAAAATTATCGAATTTTTCAATACCATGGTATTGAATCCCTCGTCCAGCTCGGCGAATAATGCATAATGATATATACTGGGAGTTTTAAACTATCGCCCTTGTATTGCTAAAGCCCCCGTCACACTAGACCATGATCGCACCACGCTCACCGCGATCTAAAATGAATTTAGATCGTGGTGACGTCGCTGTGAGATCCTAGCACAGTCTCTCCGACTTTTAGTACGCTCTCGCTACGATGGTACAGCGACCTTTGCGATCTTACCACAACATAACTGTGCTCTCACTACGCTTCTATTACGACATGATTTCGCCACGATCACACCACAATTGTTTTGAACATGTCCAAAGATGGTCCACGCTCATTACGATCATGAAGACCTCATCACGACCGTACCACGACCTTACTGCGATCTACACGACAAAATTAGCATTGTTTTCAGAGATCGTAGTGCGATCGTGGCCTAGTGTGACGGGAGTATAACCTGGATCCATACCCAATGTCTTAAGCCCCCGTCACACTAGACCACGATCGCACCACGCTCACCACGATCTAAAATAATTTCAGATCGTGGTGAGGTCGCGGTATGAGCGGCGTGAAAATGTAAATTTTTGTTGTTTTCACGATGCTACTTCGTCCTCATTACGCTTCTACAGCGATCCCGCTACGATTATATCACGTTCACACCACGCTTATTCTGCGACCTCACTACGATTATCACGATCTTACTACGCTCATTACGTTCTCACTACGACCATACCACGATTTATCCGATTGCAACACGATCTTACCACGCTTCTACTGCGATTATAGCACGCTCTTACCACGATCATACCACGTTCATACCGCGATCTTACTACGCTCTCAGCAATAACGTCAACATTGTGTGTTCTATTCCTTCTATTTCTCATTAATACGTAGATTTCTCGGAAACAACACAGTCATGCCACCAAAATCTTCTAAATAGAGTATCTGTCTTCTTGACTCTTGGACCAACTCTGTTAAGAAGTTCATCGAACATCTCTGGTGGCATTCTCAAAAAATTAAAGAAGGAAGGTTCATCCTCGATTCGTAGCTCGTTCATCAACTGATCATTATGATCAAACTGGAGTCTCCTTTCGGTTGATAACCAAGGACGAACCCAACAGGACCTACGCCGTCAAAAATTTCTTCTTATTCTTCTTATTCGCTCTCTCAATAACAATATCATGGCCTGATCGTTAAGATTTTGTATCTGTGTTAATGATTGTAGAAGCATTACTACATGTACATGGTCTTGTGTTTCCATGGTTCAATTGATGTTTCAAACAAAACCTGGAGAGCTTTTATATATTTTATGTGACAATGACAATGAGCAATGACTAGAACTCGAAATGGTCGTAGTATGAACGTAGTGATGGTGGTAAGAAGAGCGTGATGAGGACGGCATGAGCGTGCTAGAATCGTACTATGGCCTTGAACAGCGTGGTATAAACGTGGTATAGTCGTAGTAGAAAAGTGGTTGGGTCGCGGTGAGAACGTGATGGTCGTAGTAAGGTCGTAGTAACGTCGATGTGAGATCGTAGAGCAGTCTCTCCGACTAGAAACGCTTCTACTACGACCTGATTTCGCCACGACCGCACCAAAATTGTTTTGAACATGTTCAAAGTTGGTCTACACTCATCACGATTATGAAGACCTCACCACGACCGTACCACGAACTTACTGCGATCTACACGATCGCACTACGATCGTCAAAATTTTCATTTTTTTCAGAGATCGTAGTGCGATCGTGGCTTAGTGTGACGGGGGTATTAGGCGTTGTAAAAGTCTCTAAATAATCAGTTCTGTATTATTTTCTTTTATTTTAGACTACTAGTTTTCAAGGAGAAAAAAATATTAAAATTCAACAAGCAAAATAAATAATTGTTTCTGGTGGTTATGTTTATTCGTTTATAAAATCTTTTTATGAAATACCTTCTATATATTATATCTGGTTAGTAATTTCAGACACTTCACCCAAATACTTTTAGATTTTGTTATAATTTTCATGCAAATATGCAGTTAATGTAAAATTTATTCTGTAACATATCGTGTTATCAAAATGTGAAGAATCAACATAGAAAACAAAATAAACATACCAAACTGATTGTCTTGTTGGCATGTTCTGTTGCGAAAT